AGAAGAAGAAGAAGAAGAAGAAGAAGAAGAAGAAGAAGAAGAAGAAGAAGAAGAAGAAGAAGAAGAAGAAGAAGGGGCAGAGCTGACTGCCAGTGGGTTTGTCACTGGTGCATCGAGAATATTCCAGCTCTCATCTAGGATGCTGAGTGCCATAGCTGAGGAATACTGAGAGAAGCACATGTGTGGCTAACGGAAGAGGGAGATTCGGGATCCAGGGATGGAGAGGGACATAAGACAGAGAGTACAGTGGGGGAGATTATGAAGCCATCGAAGGGAAGCAGCAGCTTCTGAGCAGCAGCGAGGACACAGAAAGCCATTCCAGTCTTAGCATGCAGCAGGTGGGCATGGCAGGTGGGAACCACAAGGAGACAGATGGCTCCCTGCAGAGACCACTCCATCTCCATGCCAAGGACTCCAGGGCACACACCCTGACAGCCCTGGGTGTCTTCTCTCCTGCTTCTGATTCTGACCATGTCCTTTCTCCTGCAGCTGTGGTCACCTCCACACTTTCCAGTGGCTATGGCAGTGGAAGTGGCATTGCAGGTGGAAGCCTGGGTTTCGGTGGAGGCAGCAGCTACTCCTTCACTACCAGTGGCGGGCACAGCCTGGGCACAGGCCTGGGAGGCTCTGGCTTCACTGCCAGTAGTGGCAGGGGCCCAGGGGGCAGTGGCTCTAGCATCAAGTTCATCTCCACCACATCCTCCAGCAGGAAGAACTACAAGCACTAAGTGCAAGCACAGGCCCTGCCAAATGCCTGGGTGCCCGTTTGCACTCCCACTAGGATCCTGAGTCTTTCTCCCGGTCTCCCTCCCCCCACCTCACCTGCACTGCTGTGAAGCCTGGCATTCTGGATAAACCCCATTCCTCAGCCTGAGGCAGCCCCTGCCCTTGCTCCTGTTCCCAAGCTACTCCTGACACCTCTGTGCTAGACATGCAAACCTACAGCCTATTCTCCTCCAAGGTTGTGGTTCAGCTGCTCCTAAGAGGCCCTGGCAGCCTGCAAAAGGCCCTTCAGCACCAGCTCCAGATGCAGCAGTGGGGAGCCTGTGTCTCTAAGGCCATCTCAATGCCAGGCCATCCCCACTTGTCTCAGGGTGCTTATAAACTGCTGGAAGAATGAGTGCACCTCTGTTCCCCCACCCCCAGAATGTGTCTATTAAATGCATGTGTAATGTGTTTGGCATCTGGCCTTCTGTTTGTGGTGGTGATGAGTCCAGAACAACTCTCCTCCTCTCCGAGGCTGCCCAAGGCAGAGGATCCCCACACTCTGGGCTCAGGGCACCTCAGCCGGCCTAAGTGATAGAAGCCAAGGAGGAGGCTGGCAGATGGGAGAGACAGGGGCTGCAGAAGTACAGGGAAGGTGGGAGATGGACACACTTTCTGACCCCATTTCTCCCACTTCTTCTCACTGATATAGTTTATTTGAGAAGCCCGAGGCCCTGGGCAGAAGCACTGCCCAACCTTCCGCTTAGTACATCATGGAGGGCAATGCCTTCTCCTCCCAAAATCAGACTGCATTCCTGGGACACTGATGCAGGGTGGGCAGCCCCAGTCTCAGCCAGCAAAGGGGCTGATTGTTCCCTGACGGCTTCAAACTTGCAGACCTGAGCAGAGAAATAACAGGCCAGGGAGAGGCGTTAATACCCCTGGGGCCAGTCACAGGAGCCAGTTAGCTCCTAATTGCAAGAGTGTCCACATTCCTGACTTTATGAGTGTCCCAGGCCCCTCCCCAAGTAGACTCATCTAGCTTGAGGCTAAGTGGGCTCAAAGAGAGTGGACACAATGCTCCAGACCAAGCGAGTGGGGAGCTGAGGGGAGCTGCAAACCAGGGTGGGAACAATGCTACTTATACTGCAGAGCAGGATGTTAAGGGCAGAAGGGAGATGACAGTGAAAGAAAGGGTGAAGTTTGAAATGGTTGGAAGGGTGAGGGTAGGTATCACTGAGAAAAACTGTTAAGTCCCCCAGTCCATAAGGGAAGGGCAAGACACAGGATGAGAGGAGGAGACAGGAATTTAAAGTCCTGGTTGTTCCCCTTGGACAAGCCGACTCTCCTCTTGAGGACTGACTCCTCACCTGAATGAGATTAGATGATTCTGTGCATGTAATATTGGCCTCAAAACTCACCCTCTATGTGACCATAGTCAAGTTGCCTAACAATTCTGCTTTAATTGCTCCATGTGTAAAACAAGAATAGCCATGCCACAGTGATGTCTAAGAGTCAATGAGAAGGTAGGCACAAGGCAGCTACCCAGATCTGTGCAAAAAACATCAGCAATGCTATGTCTATCATTCATTCTTATAAAGTAATGAGAATCAAATAAAATAATGCTTGTGGCAGACCTGCACATGGATGGTGTGGCACAGGCTGAATCCTCAGGAAACAGAAATATAAAGACATATATAATCACATCCAGAATGGGACATGCCTAGTCAGGTGTGTGGATTCAGGACCCAAGACCTGAGAATAAAGGATAGAGCTGCAGAGAAACAAGAGGAGTATCTGTGGCATGAGGCTGGGAAGTTGGGCGGGGGGACCCAGACCTACCTCAGGCCTGGTCCTGTCTGGGTAGGGTGTTCCCCCATGATTAGCAGGACAGGAAGATGGGCTGTGGCCAGACATGCCATTGAGGTGAATACAGCAGAGTGGTCTTTGATCTCCTCCAGCCAAGCCCAGTTCTCAAGAGGGATAAAAGTCAAGCAGAGTCCAGGACAACTACACTTTGAAGGCTGCTCGTTGCCCTGACATTTCACTCCTCTCTACCCTCTGGCACCAGTTCTTACCATGAACCAGCGATCATCGATCACCATCAAGTCGGGGGGCACACAGAACTTCAGCGCTTCCTCAGCCAGCCTCCTCCCGGGATGCCGACCTAATTTCAGCTCTTTCTCGGTGTCCCAGAACAGGAAGAGCATTGGAGGTGGTCTGGGGGGAGGCTTCGGGACCAGGAGCCTCCATGGCTTTGGTGGCAGCAAAAGAATCTCCATCAGTGGAGGTTACCACTCCAGCCGGGGCAGCTTTGGGGGTTCTAGCTGTGGGCTCGGTATGGGTGGCATGGGGTACAGAGCAGGGGGAGCCTTTGGTGGATATGGATTTGGAGGTGGAATGGTGCATGGAGGTAGGGGCATCCAAGAGGTCACCATCAACCAGAGTCTCCTGACACCCCTGCACCTGGAAATCGACCCTTCTCTCCAGCATGTGCGCAAGGAGGAAAAAGAGCAGATCAAGACCCTCAACAACAAGTTTGCTTCCTTTATCGATAAGGTGAGGGGCCAGTGGGGTCCACACCAGGAAAGCAGCTACTATCAAAGGGTCTATGTTTTCTGTGCTTTTTTGAGGTCAACTGTGGCTTCCCTGGCCCTGTGGCTGGGCAGTCCGCTGACAGAGTAGAGGAGAGAGTAGTTTTCCACTTTGTTGAGGTAGGAGCGAAAAAATGTCCATCTCCAGACCCACGAGCTTGGGCCAGGGAGATGGCCTAGTGGAATAAGCGCTTCCCTGGCAAGCACAAGGGCCTGAGTTCAATCCCCGGTTCTGCAAAAAAAAAAAAAAAAAAAAAAAATTGATCCATTCAGACCCACAAGCTCTCTGACTTACTACAAGGACATTGTTTTTTGATGTTCTTGGCTTAAAATTAGATAATACCTTAATGTTTTGAGAGAATGAGACAAAGGAATGAGAGATGCATTCATGGAATTGGGCTGGGTCCCAGCTTAATCAGCACTAATGTCCTGTAATAATAAGCATCTCCTTGGACACTGGGCATATCTAGGAAGCTGGGCGAGTGGTGAAGGGACACCTGGAACACTTAGCATATGTCCTTGAGTTAGAGAAAAGTTGTAACCTTAGCCTGAATCCCCCTGCTGCATGGCCTGGGATTCAAGGATTCCCCAGCTCTGCAAGGGCACCTGCATGGCAGGTGCTACCACAACACACCTGAGTTGGTTGATTGGGTCCGGGAAGAACCAACTCAAGGATCCAGATCACTTAGGCTCCATGTCTGGGTTCTGGAAGACTCTGAGCTAAGAGGCAAGCAGCTAAGGTTCCAATTTTGAATCTACTCTTGGGAGAGTCTCTGCTCAAGGACTCTAAGGTAGGTCCCTTTTGCAAGTTTGGGTGGCCATGATGCCTTATCTTATGGATGAGATCGTGGAATGTGCAGACCTAACCAAATGCACTACTGAGACCCTGGATCTTGAGCTTTGTTATCCATGTTACCTCTCCTGCCCTGGAGTGAACCAAAAGAGCTGAAGCTTCCAGTAGCCTGACTGTGTAAGGAAGTCCTGGGCCTTGATTGTCCCTTGTTGCTTTGGAGGAGATGGAGAGAAAGAAGGTATGGGATTAAAAAGGGACCTGGAGCCAGGACATCCTCCTTATTCCAGCAGTGAGAGTGACAGACAAGAAAAGATACATTTATTAAAGACTATCTGTGAGGGGGCAGCCATCTCCCAAGGTATGGAGGTGCTGGTCCCTTTTCGCTAAGGCTAGGTGTCACTGCAGTTCCTTCCAATGGAAAGACTGTAGAAGGGAATGCTTGTTCTTATTTTCTAAACCTGCCTCCCCAGGCTGAGGAGCAGATGGAACTAATTCAACAAACCCAAATTTAGCTATACAAGATCACAAGGAACTTGAGGCCACAGAAAGAAAAGGTCATTCCCAGGGTCATACGGCTACTAAAGGACATAGCTCAAAGGCAACTCCAGGGTGGCCCATTCCAACCCATCTGGAATGTGCAGGCAGCTGAGACCATATTCTACATCCTGACAAATCTTGCCATAAAGAAAGCAGACAGGTGGAATTTTCTGCCACAAGCTCCTATCCACTTAATGGGAAGAAAAATCTCACCGATAATATGATGGTGGAGTAGTCTTTGCTTAAGCTACCACACATCAGCATGGTTCAGTGTCCTTGGATGCTTCTGTCCCCTTTGATCATCCCTAGTCCTCCCCTCTCCAAACCAAACCACCACCTCCCTCCCAAGCTCCCTGCACCTACATTGGCTTGGCTGGCTATATCCCATGCCGCTTGTAGCCTGGAAGAAGAGTCTGCCACCTGGACCCTGAGCTTTTGTGCAAAACCCCTCGCACTGTTGAGCCACCCTTTTGTGAGAGGCCTCAGGAGGCTGCCTCCTGAAAGTCCTCACTGTCTCTTACCTCTGGCTGGGCAGGTCCGCTTCCTGGAGCAGCAGAACAAAGTCCTAGAGACCAAATGGAGCCTCCTGCAAGAGCACAAAACCACCAGAGCCAATCTTGAGCCCATGTTTGAAACCTACATCAGCAACCTGAGACGACAGCTAGACTGCCTGGGCGGAGAGCGGGGCAGGCTGGAGATGGAGCTAAAGAGCATGCAGGATGTGGTGGAGGACTTCAAGAACAAGTGAGTGGATGCCCACCAGTTCCTGGGCCAGAACCTGGCCCTGGGGCAATGAGGAGGGTGAGGGAAGCAGGAGAAACCAGCTCCTTTCCCCAGATATGCCTAGACCAGTGGGTAATGGGATACACATTTAGGGGATGGGGTAGAGAGAGAACCAGGATGCTGTTAAGAATGTTGAAGCTCCGGGAAGGTGTGAGTTACAGGTGATGCTTGCTAGCACAGGTACAGAGAGTAGGACGTACATAACTGTGCAGATGAGGAGAGTCAGGCTCTGAGGTGGCTTTCAACTCATCCATGATAACACAAAGCAGCAACTCATGAATTAAGAATTAAATCCAGAGAATCTCACATTTATTCA